CACAGAAGCTTTCCAGACCGCAGACCCCGTTTTCTCTTGCGCACAATGGGGGCCAAATTAGTAACTAACAGGGTCACTAACTTACAAAATAAGAGGCAGAGTGTGAGACGATTAGCCCAGCGTTTGATATAAAGTCCGGGTTCGGTAAATAGTGCTGTTGGTATATTATTACTTATTAATAGTAATATTAACTCAGTTGTCTTTACCAATATTGGCGTATCTCATGCATTCTGAAATACATGTATATCTTTCTCTTAGGCTATCTAAGAGCAATTTTTCCTGTGTTTATTTATTTATAGATGACGTGCTTACCGAGCAACTGCTGCGTGTTGGTGAGCTCGCCGGAAGCTGGGTTTAGGAGGGCGAGCCAAGCAAAAGTCCTCCCTTCCACCGAAATGTTAGCATGGGGAGCAGAGAGTGAACAGCAAAGGGACAAACCTGTCCTTCTCGGTGACACCTGAGCGCTGGGAAGGGCGTGCCGGCGAGCCCGCTGCGGGCCAGGCCCCAGCCTTCCTGAGACACGGACTGGAGAGGGGAGCTGCCGGGGCGCCGAGCTCTGCGCCCTCGGGTCACTCACGGCACACGTAGCTCACGCCGTCCCTGTCCCCGCACTTGAGTGCATATGTGTGTGTGTGCGTGTGCGCAAATTTCTTTCAGATCGCTCATCGGTGTTCCCCAAATAGCATAAAACCAGCAAGCAGATGAAGGGTCACTGTCCATGAAAACATAGAGCTCAGGAAGGCCCAGCGCCCCCGAGGCACAAATGCGGGCAGGATGTAGGCACAATGTCTTCCTACCTCATTTATTTCCTGGGAAAACAAGACCTGCCCCCCCATCTTCAAATCTTACTATTTGAAGTCTTAAAGGAGATAAGAAAGGATTCTTAAAAGATAGCCGTCTGTCGGTGCCTGGAGGGAGGACTGCGGTCCCCGACGGGACTTCTCTAGGGGGGACCCTCTCTGGGCAGAATGTCCCTGGGGGCTCCTTCCTGAGTCCCTGGCTCCCGAGCTCAGGCCGGGCCTCTTCCAAGGTCTCGGGCGCTCACTCCCAGAGACCTCAATCAAAGCACCAAGAAGAAAGGAGAAAGTTTTCCTCCTGGCTCCCGACAGTGAGTCACAAGCTGGCACCCTCGCCTCCCATTCTTAAAACTCGCAGGGTGGTACAGGCAGTGATGCTGACAGTGTGCGTTCACAGATGCCACCATATGGGTCTCGGAAAACTAGTTGCGCTGATGGCTCCCTGCACATGGAGGAGACAGTTTGCGTTGCTGGCACCGTCCCTGCGTAGAAACAAGCACAGCTTAGCGGTGCCGAGCAGATGGCACTGGGTCTGGTGCCAGGGAAGCAGTGAATTAAAGGTTATACCCACCAGGTTTGATGTGGTGCCAGTTTGAATTGGTACAGAAGTTTCAGCCCACCTGCTTATTGGCCTCCTGACATCTGGCATCTTCTTATTTATTTTATTTTTTTTAAAAAAAATTTGGACCGAATTGAAGGCGGCAAGGAAAAATGTCATTTTAAAAGCCAGTGAGAAGTCAATAGATTTAAATGATTAACAACAAAAATAAAGGCCTGCAGGCCCTCTGCATCCATGCTTTATAGTAATAATTTTTATAAAACCTTGGGGAAATTGCACACTGGTGTGCTGGATTGTGTGCCGCTTGCAGCGTCATGATGATGGGGAAGGTGGCCTGCGGAAGGCTGGCTCCAAGTTGCCTGGTAGTGAGAACCGAAAGAGGCTATTATCTGTAGCCCGCACGATTAGGAATGGGGGGGGAGATAAACTTGTTCCTGTTCATCCTAATTATTTTCACATTGTACTAACTAGAAAACGTTGTGGAATTTCTCATAGGCACACACTCTGAAAGGTGTTTTTCCACCTTGCTCTTGACAAGGTTTTTTGTTTTTTTGGTTTGTTTTTTGGTAGCAGGGCACTTAGTTACACAGCAGGGCTGTGTCTCAGCTGTAATCCCACGTGGTCCGCCCACGTCCGTGTACTGTGTACACGCATATGCCACGCGCCCGGCGCAGCCGTGAGCTCACACTGAAGCCGGTGCGTCCTCGCCGCGGGTTTCGGGGCCTGCTCCTGGGCGTGAGAAGAAGGCCCATGGCAGAGCTGCTCTCCGAGGCGATTCGTTCTGTAACTAAGCCCTTCGATGCAAAGTGTGTGTAAAACCTGCCTCAGAGCATCCACAACTTGTCGATTTTAAATGGACTTCTCCTGATACCGTATGAAGTCCTGTATCAGCATTCCAGAGGCCAGAGAAGCCTCGTTAAGCAAAGGTATTAAATACCGAAAATAGCATCAGCCTTTGCCCCATGAACCTGACCTGTGAATACTGACCTTTCTTGCCCCCCCGATGGAATTGGCTGTATGTTCTTTTGTATCTTAGAGATTATAACGGCCATGGAGTCCTGTTGCCTTGCAGTCTTTTTCTTTCAGAAAAATACCTAGAGACTGATAAAGAAAAAAAATAGTATTTCTAAGCTCTGCTCAAAGTAGTTGGAGAGAGGAAGAAACAAAACCAGGAGCCCACGTCTCCTGCGAGCAGGAAAGGAGACCACTAGAGAGCCACTAGTTCGTCTTGCCCGGGCTGTGGAGGGAGTCCACCGACAGAGACGGCGAAGAGCCGGTGACACCCAGGCAGCCCTCAGTGTGTACAGAAGAGGCAGGTGTCTGGGCAAGTTTCATCCATCCTGTTCACTCTGGATGGAACCTGGAAACTCACTGCCTGTTTTGAGGCCTTTAATTAAATATTGTCATGACTCCTTAAGATTAAAAATATTATTAACTATTGATGTTAAAGTATTAAAACATTAAAATAATTTTAAACTATTATAAGATTTTAATGATTAATATTACAATATTAATTAACTTGCATTTCTAAATTCAGCGAACCGCAACTATATCTTTTTCCAAAGATAAAGCTGGGGGGGAAAATCTCTTTTCCAAAGAGAGAAAATTACTATAGAAAAAATAAAGTTAACAAATAGCTTCTAAACAACGCGATGGCAAACGCTGCTGGAGTTTTGCAGACGATTTGTTACCAAAAGCCTTAGTTTCATCCTAAATTTAAGAAGGGGAAAAAACCCTCAGGTTTATTTGGTCTAATGTAAAGGGTATATTGGTCAGCATTTCGCAGTAGAATAAAGAAGGGAAAGAGTAAAACCACCCATGTTGCAGAGCCTCCAACGCTGGGGCCCCCTAGAGCTTCCCTCTGTTCACATAACTCACTCATTTATAGTGGATGCTCCTGCATAATTCTATTAGCCTGGAATTCCTTTCACAAGCTGCTGAGATGTCCTTCTATAACAGTGCTCCTTCATTATTGCTATTCAAAGACATCCAAAAAACTCATGCATTATTCAGTGTTGTTATAAATAATTCCTGTTATAGACCAGGTACTAAATCGCAGCCGCACAGTTACTGTAGTGAGAGAATCCAAGTTCTCCAGATAAATAGGTAGCCCCAAATATTCCAGGGGAAATCAGAGGAATGCAGGGTGGGGAAAAGGTAGGTTTGCAGTTGTTGGTACGGAAAATACAACAATAATGAATAAACAATAATACAGAATAAACTCAGCGTTTCACGGACTCACAACTGTAAACCTACTTTTGCTCCACCCTGTATGTTTTTCTGCTTCTTCAACTGAGCAGTGGTTTTTTTGTCTGTTTGTTTTGTTTTTTTAGATGTTTTTGTGGATTTTTTTTTAGAGATCGAGGAAGGGAGGGGGAGAGAGAGAGAGAGAGAAACATCGATGAGAGAGAAACGTCAACATTGATCGGCTGCCTCCTGCCCTTCCCCTGCTGGGGATGGAGCCAGCAACCTGGGCATGTGCCCTGACCTCGCATTGAACCATGACCCCCAGGTTCATGGGTCGACCCTCAACCGCTGAGCCACTCCTGATGGGCATAAATTGCATAATTTTATGGCTAATTACCATGCACTACAGTTGTGATTTTTCTTATTGGAAAAGTGTGCTGCACACTAATTTGTGGGAGTTTTATTTGCTCACGACATTGTATTCTATTGACGTGTTTCTAATTGTGCTAATTTACTGATCCTACAATGTGGTCACTTGCTCAGAAATTACAATTAATTGAAACATTTTCCATTTATTTATCTCTCCTCTCTCTCTCTCTCTCTCTCTCTCTCTCTCTCTCTCTATATATATATATATATATATATGCATGTGTAGTAAAAGAAAACTCTAAGTCTTAAACTAAGCTATAAAGTAATGGAGAAGATTTTTAAAAATTAACTGAATAATTTAATCTTTGACGTTAAACAGAATCTTATAAAGCACTTAATTCAAAGGGATATTGTGCAACATAGAATGTCCTGAATTCCATTTTTAATTTCCTAGAAACTAAATTTAGACAGATTTTATTTTTAGTGCAGTTTCTTTCAATGGTGAACCTCTTTGACTTACTCTAATGAAGGTCACGGACAAATCGATTTTTCAAGGTCAGCTGTTCCTTCGTGATTTTGACAACCTGAGGGGAATATCCCAAGTTACAGAGCTCAGCTGTTTTATAGACTTTCTTTGTGATTGGAATATAAGACAACCAAAAGTAGACATGAAAGGGGTCACTTGATTCTGAAAGTTTTGCTGCTGTAGTTACGGATTGGCTCACATGCGGATAAACACGCTGGGCCCCGCATTGTTAGCTCTGCTGTATATTTTGCTTTGGCTCCTTAAGAGAACAGGATGTGATGGGGAGAAATATACATTTTCAACCTGTTTTTTCCCTGGAGAAAATACATCTTATTTCTATGATCTAGGATAACCCTGCTGAAACGGCAATATATCAACACTGTGGTGTAACCCTGTGCAGCGTCTTGGCTCAACCCCAGGATTGGGGTCGTCTGATAATTTATTTACATTCTACCCACATCTCCAAGTATTTCTCCATGAAGTTTTCATTTTTAATTTTTTGAGACTAAAATAGAGCCAGTCAATTATTTACTCTATTTTTCTTCATTTATCATGGGCACAGATGATTTCAACAACGATGGAAATATAATTGTCAGTACGCTTTTCCATTCCACGAAACGGACACCGTCGAATCCCAAGAAGAGGCTCGGGGGCGCACGGAGCTGAATGTCTTTTGACGATGGTTTGGTGAGTGAAAGGAAAGCCGGGACTCACAGATGTCACAGGGGTGAGCACTGCTCCTGCACTCGGGCTGAGAAGTCCTGTGAAAGCCAAGGGGTGGTTTAAGATGTGCTAATAGAGGCTCCTGCGGGGAGTCGGGCATCAGGAGCCACCTGGAGCACGTGCGGGAGCTCGGAGCCGGCAGTGCGGCAGCTGGGCCCACGTCAAGGGAGCGGCTTTCATCGCGCTTGTTTTGATGTGTGCGTTTCCCCTGCCACAGGCGCCCGGGAAGACGGCTGAGCACGGCAATGAATGGTGCCCATTACCTGATATTCATACTTGTGACAACAGAGGGAAGAATCACAACACAACAGTAAGCAAAAAAATTGATACACAAATTAGTTTAAGTTGCTGCAGTAGGAAAAATCTTGAAAACCAACTGGCGATACTTGAATGTAAGTGAGAAGGGAAGCAGAATCGTTTCATGTTTGACCATAAATGTCCTTCTCCTGGTATAATATCGAGTCTCCGTGATTATTTTGAAAGCAGGGCCAAACTGTATTATTTTGAAATACAGTTTGAACCTAAAGAGCAAAAGGTTGTTCTCTCTGATGTGAGACTTAATGTAAAACTCTGATTAGAGAAAATATGAGGAGCCTGTTGTTGGATCCAACCCATTTCTTTCCCTCTTAAATATGTTTTTATTGATTTAGAGAGAAGAAGGAAGAGAGGGATAGAAACACCAATGATGAGAGTCATTGATCAGCTGCCTCCTGCGCACCCCCTACTGGGGATCGAGCCCACGGCCCCCTGGTTCATAGGTTGACACTCAGCCACTGAGCCACACCAGCGCGGCCCAACCTGTTTCAGTGTCGGGTAGAGACCACGTTTCCTGCAGCAGCGCTGTAACTGTTGGGCTGCTGGATGAGTGTGCAGGCCTTCCTAGCACTTGATGTGGCTTTGTAGTACAATTTCATATCCGGTATTGTGATCCCTCCAACTCTATTCCTCTTTCTTAAGACTGCTGCAGCTATTTGGGGGTCTTTTTTGGCTCCATATAAATTTTTGGAGTACTTGTTCTAGATCTGTGAAATTAATAGGAGTTGCTTAGAATCTATAGATTGCTTTGGGTAGCGTCGTCATTTTAATGACGTTGCTTCTACCAATCCATGAACACGGTATATGCTTCCACTTGTTTATATCTTCCTCTATATAAAAGAGAGTAATTCCAATTATTTCTTTGAGGGAGACACTAGAAAAAGCTTAAGAACACTTGCTTACTAAAAATAAAATCATCAGACTTAAAGGAGGAAAAATATTGTACCCATTACCTCTAGTGACTACTCATGTCTACATTCTGTTACTCCAACAGAGGGGACTGGAAAAGGGCTATAATCTTACGTGTTTCTGTTTTTGCCTTAACTTTCCCCCCATGATGTTCTTATTGTGCTAAGCTAGCAGTTAATAACACAGATTCCCCAGCTAGGAAAATTCAAATTTAATCTGAAAAGAACAGCCTTTCAAATAAACATATTATCTAAATAACTACTTGGTAAAAGAAAGAATTTCTCTATGGAACAGTTTCTGAATCCTTTGGTTCAAATTTTAATTTTTTTTTTTTAAACAAGTTGCATTTCTGTAGTGGAGATTTGCCATTTGGTTTTTTAAAATCACTTACAGTTTAAGCCACTGATTCATGACTCATGCAGAGCAGTAAACCTAAGTCCCCAGTGAAAGACAGCAAGAGCTTAGTTCTCAGAGGAAATGGAGCCGCGGCTTGTTTATCTTGGAGAGCGCTCTCGTCATAATTTTTACTCTGCACTTATATTTTGTGGGCAGTTTCGTCTTCTGTTTTTCCTATTCTCAGGTAGAATTAAAAAAACACCCCCCCAAAAACACCACCACCAACAAAAAACCAGAGACAGAAGAAGAAAAAGGACCCTGCTCACTGGTCCTGGTAAAGTTCTTAGAGGATTCAAGTCCTGTCCAGGTGGAGGTGCAGACGTGGTTCCCACCGGGGCAGGGGACTGAGGCAATACGGGGCGTGTCCCTGAGCAGGAAGGCAAGAAACACATTCCCCTGAATGCCCCTCGCCCCGGGCCCTAAGCCAGCAAGCCCTCTACCAGCTAACTATGGAGACGACAGGCTGCCTGCTTGGAAGAGCCCGGTCCTGCTCCAAGGAGGAGCCGCTGGGGGAGGAGGGAGCGTCACAGAGCGAGGGATGCTGTGGCCTGTCGCTCAGGTGCGAGGGGTTCGAGAAAGCCCACACGGCCTGGAACCCGTCAAAGGCAGCTACCCGGATGGCAGAAGGCGCCGCAAGCCTGGCTTCCCGGACGGCGAGAGGCACCGGGCGGCCGCCGGAGCAGCCCAGGGCCTGGCGGGGTGGCCAGGCCGCCCTTCGGGTTGCTTTGCTTTCTCGGACGGGACGCGGGCTGCCTCTCACGCCTGAGCGTGGTGGCGCCCACGGAGGGGCGGGGGTGACTGTTCTCTCGCCTGGAAAATAAGGGTGGGAGTGGACCGAGGGGCTGAACCAAGACAGTGTCGGAGAACACTCGGACCTAATGGTCTGAGGACGAGGGTCAGCTCCCGCTTGACACCGGGGTGGTTGCTGGGCGCCTGCCTTCACGGAGGGCCGCGTCGGAGGATGTGGGTGAAGGCCTCTGTGCAGAGTGACAGGAAACGTCGCTGTGAAGCGCGGCTCTCGGTCAGACCCGGGCTGCAGTTTGCTCCTGAAGACGCCGAGCGTGCGGCAAGTCCGCTCACTTACCAGTTCCCTGGGCTCGGTCCTTCTCAGACGGGCTTTGTTTAAGGTCCCATCCAAGCTGATGAGCTGTTCTCTCTAAAACCCAGATCCGACCTCACTGCTACTTAATGAAAAATCTCCACCAGTTCCCCGCAGGCTTCAGGATGAGGCCAAACGCGACGCCTGACACGCCAGCGCTCCTGACCCGCGCCCGCCCCGGTGGGCTCTTGCTCACACTGAACACGAGCCCGCACGTCCGGGAGGCAAAGGCCCGCAGCGCTCCTTACCTAGGAGCCCCTCACGCGAGTTCTCACGGCCCCTCAGCCGTCCCTCTGCGGCCCTCGGCCCTGGGCAGTCGTCACTCCGTGGGCAGCTTCAGAGAATGTCCCTACTCCAGGGCCCTGGGAAGTTTCTATAGCACCGGCCACAGTCCATTGTGTTCACCTTTCTCTCTCTGCTGGAGTAAAGTTCTGTTACGATACAAGCCAAATCTATTTACCTTTGTAGACCCATTATCAAAGTTAGTATACGCAATAAACCAAAAATTAATTGAATTTACTTAAAAAGAGAAGCTGGAAAATCCACCCAAATTAGTTTCCTCCTACTGCATTACCCGCTGATTTCTTTCGCACCACCTACCATCATGGTAAATTGCATCTTTGTTTTTGTTTATCTGCTGATCCACTTATTTACTGTCTACGTCCATCCCCCACCACCACTAGGTTGTACGCTCCGTGAGGTCAAGGAACGTTCTCCATGCTGTTAGCTGCTGGGTACCCGCACCCACGATGGTGCTGGGAAGACAGTAAGAACTCGAAATAATTTTGCTTAAAGGCAGAAGCTGGTTAAGGAAACCAAGAATGAGTGTTCATAGATTTAGAAAGAGAAATAGGTGATGTGTTTAAATAAGAAATAAAATATTTTATTAACGTGTCATATTTGACTTTAAAAACAAATACACATATTTTGAGGGAAGCACAAAACAACAACAATAAACCCAAATCTCGACAGAAGAAATAAAAATGTCTTCCAGTTTTTCTCTGTTACCTACAGGACACCGACTTGGCAGCTGCTGTTACAAATGGAAAAAAAAAAAAGAAAAAGATTGTCATGCAGAAGGTTTATGTTCTTGCGATTGATGGACATTTCCGCCTATTATAATCACAAATAAAATTTCTACTGTCTCATGAGCAATAGGCCGCGAATCTTAGGAATCTGCTTCCAAGAGTTCACCTCCCAATTCCACCCGACAGTAAAGGCAGAAGGACTGCTCCCTGTGGGAGGTGGCCCTGTGCCGGGCGGCGAGGCTGGAGGAGCGACAGGGATCAGGGAAGAGAGCACATCCATCGTGCTACGTGACTTACGACTCGACCTGATCCTTGGCGTAGCTGACGGCGGGCCGGCGGGCTAAGCCTGCCTGGCGGACCTGGGCTTCCAGTGCTGCGCGCAAGGGTGCAGGTGTCCTGAGCAGGTGCACAGCGTTCTGCTCATAAACAGGAGACATTAAACCTGGGACAAGGCTTATTTTGCTGCATTATAGAAATTTCACAGACCTATAGAAACTACACGAAATGTTGCCTTAGGGAGAGCTATTCGTTCCGTGTCTCTTCAAACCCTGCAGATCAAGAGAACAATGGGCTCCTTCCAATTTGTGCCATGAGGTTTCTCTTCCTTAAACATTAAGATGAAATATAATAATACCCCCCCAGTCCGTTAGAGTATCATTTTATTTGCATCAGTGGGTCTGAAAAATGTTGTACTTGAAACCTCAAAAAAATACACGTATATGGAAATCATATCATGCTGTGTTTTTTTCTAAAACACTTATAAACACCGTTGGAGTCACAGTATCATAATGGAAACTTGCTGTTAGTTTTCAGTCGACGATGTGAAGAGCTGGGAGCTCGGGCTGCACTGGGAATTAGCTTGTGCAAGCTCCAGAAATCCATTATTTAGGGTGTGGCAAGATTTGAAGAAGGCTTGTCATCCAAAAACAAGGACCAACTGGCAGAGGAGTGCTGTCCTGTGGAAGTGGCCGCCTTCTATGGAAATTAATCCCATATGAGAAATGCATGTGAAGAAACCCGGCATAGTTTTCATCTTGCCCCAACCAGGTTTGAATAAGAATTCACTCAGTAACTTGTTTCACAAAAAATGCTTTAGTTTGAATGTCTACTCTTATGGTGTTTATTAAAACATCCCGGGGCCACTAGGAAGCTTCATGATAGAGCTAACTCACTGCTGTGTGTGAGGCACTGGATCTCAGAGAGAGACACCATTTATTGTTAATAGCTTCTGTGCTTCCCACAGTTCATGTCATCGTTTATTGTGCATGAACTGAAACATGCAATAATCTCTTGTGTGTGTTCTATTAGACACAAATACGCTGCATTTATCTAACACTTGTTTTGGAGATTGATCGTATGAAGGTGGAGAATTCCCTATCCACAATGTAGAAGTGATTTTCTTGTTTGCTGATAAAAATCTCTGCACTTGGGTGTGCCTATGGGCCACAACTAGATTGGGAAACTAATTTAACTGCTATCTAAACAAGGTTTATAAACCAGTTTTATAATGCTCCCTACTTTGTGCTTCCAAGGCTAAAACACAATTTTACTTTATTTTTTCCT